ACTGGATTTATTGACACCTTAGGCACTCAACTCGGAACTACAGTCAGTTACGCCTACAGCGCTATCGTTGATTTCCACGCTTTGCAATTCAGCTTTACACGCACAACCACACATACGCACACACAAACACACACAAACACTAGTGTCCTTAGGCTTCGCTATCTGTATCCTGACAACGGACTTTTAGCAGTCTTGTCACTGCAGCACACACATTTTCTTCTTTGCACAGCCGAATTCCTTGCTGTTTATTCTCAATAATTCTGCTAACTGCCAACTCCAGAGATTCTCTCTGTTCAATTCCTCTTCCCCCAAGCTCATATTCCGATAGGCTGGCGTCTTGAAACTCACCTAACTCTTCTCAACTGAAATTTTCTTTATAACACCTCGACACGGACCACGCAGAAAACACAGCCTGTCTATTGTTAAAAAGCGTGTTTACAGCGCCGTTACATAGCAATAGAAGTTATTCGATTGTTGGTTGCGTATTTGTTGCCGCGGGAATATGTTTACCGAGCAGTTGACTAGCAATGGACGTCTCCTCTGGCTTCACTATTCCGACTTTCGGGCGTCATGTCACAATATACGATAGTCTAAGGCTTATTCGGATGACATAATTCTAGCATCAATGTTATAGATGTCATTCTAGTTATTAGCAGTTAGGGAATGAATCCCGAAGCGGCAGTGAAAGAGATGTATATGATTCAATAGGAATCGATCTCTCGGTCCTAGGCGAGAAAATGTACATATTTAATAGCATAGCCATCTATAAGGATTGCTTATTTCAAAGCCTTGATTACGTTATTGGAAGATCAAGTTCAGTAGGCCCACATTGTATTAATAAATGAGCAGTGAACTTGCTGGAGCAGGTTCCACCCCCGTTTTATTTTGACGCCTTTTGGAATGATATGCGGCAGCACATTAACATAAGGATATGTAACAAAACATACACTGCAAAATGGTGAGTGGATGGCCGTAATTTGGAAATAATAACTACTAGTGAAATTTATAAGTTGTTTGCTAATAGTTATTTATTTCGTGTTTGAAAGCTAAGTCACTCAAACACCTACCGGTACTTGTGGTCACGTTTTGACTGAAATAAATGTCTATATTGTTTAGTTCTGCAGATATGACCACTGTGCTACTCTGATGTCAAATGGAGAAAGGAGTGTGGTAATTTTTTGATAAAAGTCAGTTAATAAATGCAACGTTTGTCTAATGGTCAGAGTTCCTGGCTATACATCGAGGTCCCGGATTCGAATCCCGGTGCTACCAGATTTTTTGAGAAGTGGTGGGTCTGGAACGGGGTCCACTCATCCTCGTGAGGATAATTGAGAAGCTATTTCAAGTAAATAGCGGCTTCGGTCTAGAAAATCGAGATTAAAGGCCGTGGGGATCCGTTGCACTGACCACGCGACACCATCTATATGCTAAAGTTGACACTAACTTCGCCGACAAGCGGCGGTCACTCGGTCAGTATAGTTCGCTTGCGGACTACAGGCCAAGGATCTTATTTGCACAAAAACATTTCCTTCACAAAGTAGCATCGCTTAGTGCGTACAGTTATTTTATTACATTTAATATGTTACTATAAATGTGCTCTCTTTCCAAAACTGTTCATGTTATTCAAGTGATGTATTTTTAATGAAAATTATTTTTAAAAACTTCCATTTAAAACTTCGAAGAACTGTAATATTAGTAGACCACATGTTCTGTTTCGCTTATAAGTCTATCACGTCAAGCAAGGGAGCTAATATTCATTACATTCAAGCCTTTCTAGTGGGCAGCGAGTGTCTGAAACAAAACGTGACATGAAATATATACACTTAAGCTGAAATTTTATCCTTCAGAGTCTACAATAGGGTTTATCTACTTTCTATACACTTCAACGAAACACGTCAGTCTCCATATCAAGAAGCGGTTAATATCCCCCATCCTCATTTCTATCAAAATAATAGTTGGGGGGGGGGAGCAAGGCTGGAAATGAGGGCTAATAAAGTCCATTCATCCGAAGCAGATGGGTGGGCTGCATACGTGCGTATCGACGGATGGTAAGGGCAGACAATGCGCATTGCTGCGACACGCACCTACAATCCAACCATTTTTTGTGTGTAACTCTCTTTTGGCTTTGCATATGTTACGCCCAGTTTTCACTGCGGGGGGAAAAACCAGGTCCGAAAAAATGTGCATTAAATGTAACCTTACAAAGACCGAGTGTGTAACGTAATTTACTTTTTCATTCCATTTTCTCTTATAGAACGGAATCAAGTCAGATAAGCATGAAGAGGAAATTACTTGGCAGAGGAAAATGTTCGCGACATTTATTTGTGCAGATATTCTCCGTTGTCTTAATCGTCGCAGTTTTATCAATCCAGCCATGGGAACTTGTTATATTACGGATTTATGTAAAGACATAATTCTGTAACAAGTATATTTGACTTTACACTGAAGGTGATATGCAATTTCAATACGATTAATGGACATACGAATTGCCGGTAGCACAATCCACAGTTTTTTTTAAATATTCCGTATTCTTTTAGTGAAATATTCTGGAGTATATTTTTACCTTATTTCCTGTTTATTACGCCTGGAAGAATATGGTAACTCATTATATCAGAGAAACAACATTTATAAAGACTTCATGATGATTTATAATATTAAATAAATTTCAAAGGCATTTCTAGCGATTGGTAAATCGTAAGAATTACTGTAAATAATAAACAGATTTTTGTTTTATTTTACATTTGTCCTTTTATTTTACTTTAAGAGAAGATAAATGCAAATAGACTGTACAAGTTTGTGACGATAGTATATTGGTACGGGTAAAGTGTTTCTGAACATTATCCATCGCCCTGTTTTTGCTTAAGTCATACAAAGTTTCGGAAACTGGATTCATACTCCATCATCAGGTGGAACCTATTTAGTTGGGCCCAACTGAGAGAGTATTTCCGGACCTAAATTTCTAAGCTTCGCTTATGTACCAGGTCCATTCTCATTAAGTAAATAATACCTAAAGGTTTGTGACGATGGTATATTAATACAATTATTGTGTTTCTGGACATTATCCATCGTCCTTATTTTTATTTAACACTAAAAACTTTTCGGCGACTAGATACCTCCTCCGTTTTCAGGTAGAACGTACTCAGTTGGGTGCAATCAATAGAGTTAGTCCGCTATCTCCGGACGAAGTTAGAGATACGCAAATCTAGCGTTCAATAAATATTCCTGATAACTTTCATCACGTAAATAAGGAAAGTAATACGCATGTTACACGATAATCTTAAACCATTAAAATAATTAAACAGCAAGAAGGCCTAAGAACAGCGTCGGAGGTGCAAATGAAGAGGAATGTTTGTGATTGCGCGTGTTTGTTGCTTTCCTAGTTATACGTAAACAATACACTGCATATCGATCAGACGGCTGATGGGTTATTGGATGACTGGAGGAGGGACAGCAATTCTGAGGCACCATGCATAATATTGCACTACTATTTCCTCGAAAAACCAGGTCGTATTTCAGTACAGTGCAAGATAAACCGTCAGAATAATTAGGTTTCTGAACTTTGTCCATCGTTCGGTATTCTAAAAAATTCCGGACGATGGACAAAGTCCAAAAACCCAATAATTCTGAGTGTTACGATCGTCAGAATCCTTTACAATCTTCGAGACAAACCCGTATATATTTATAAGTATTTATAACGTTCATTCAAAAAAATTTCTTGACCTGATAAGCCAAAAGTCACATTTAGGACCTTATGAAATGTTATCCTTAAAATAAATGAAAGTGAATTGAAGTAACTTAAGGTAATTTTCGTATATAAGAAACATTTTACTTCAAGGTTCATCAAAATTTATTAAAGTCTCAAATAACATATGGTAATATTTGATGGACCCATATATATAAGAAATGTGACGCTCAAAATAGGTCAAAATAAGTAAAATTAACGTTATGCGACGAAATGTGGTACAATTTTGTCATACCGAGTCAGTCGGTCAAGTAAATTGCTGTTGTTATTATCGGAGTGGTTTCCGAAACCTTTTCTTTCAAAGTACAATTAAGAATTCGATCCCCGTCTCCAATAAAACACTCACTTCTATTAATAATATTATTATGTCACTGATTAGGGCGAGAACAGCAAAAAGAGAACCATTAGTACTTGTACTCATTGAGAGTGAAACGAGTTGCCGAATAGCGAGTAACGTGGCCCATGTTGTGATCAATGTGTTTCACATAGTTTAGTAATACCTTATATTAACTAAATACTAAACTCCATTGTCTTAGTCCGCAAGCGAACTATACCGACCGAGCGACCGCCGCTTTTCAGCGAAGTTAGTGCCAACTTTTGCGGGTAAAGGGTGCCGAGTTGTCAGATCAACGGATCCCCACAGCCGTTAAACTCGAATTTCTAGACAAATAATATCTTATATATCAATATATTTTATTTACATACATTCAGCTTCATATGTAACATAATAATGCCCAGTTGGAGAATGATAATGCACAGATAAGGCAAACATAAAATAACATTAGAAAAAAGGAAAATTCTCAGTTTCTTTAAGACTGTTTCTTCGTAGGCGTGGACCGTAATTCCTTTCATTCGCAATTCTCACTTAGATCCCATAAAGCGAATATATGGAAGCTTCAAACTTGCATCCTTCAATCTGCACTGTTTCAGTTGGAGAGTCTGAATTTCTGACACAGGTGTTTCGCAACACTAAATTATGTTGCATCAGGGATTATTTCAGTTTTACCCGTAAGCGGAAACCACACGTAACCTTTCCCGCTGTTTGGAAATTTTGTATCATGTAGGACGGATAGAAAGATTCTTGGCTCCACTTGTAGAGAATGTACACCCCTGTGCTGTGCAACAGTATTGAGATCGATTGTACTTATTTTCGAAAACTGTACAAAACTTTGGCCACTACTGCATAATTTAAGATAAGATACAGATAGAACATACGACTGCGGACAAAGGTTCAGGGCATGTACACCCCTGTACTCACCTTTCCGTATAATCTCCCTCAGATCGAGCTATGCCGGCCATCTCGCTGAAGACAAAGATCCGAGAAGATCCACGATACCACTTGATGCTGTGTAGGTCTCCACACTTCTCTGTATCCACATCGCAAGGGAGAAAGATTGTCTCTCCCACAAGACCGGACAAATCACGCTGCGACAGACCTGAAAGATACAAGAGAACAGCCATTTTCACACGGTTCCTCCATCGTACTCGTATATCATGGTCGTATACGTCCATGTTCAGGAGCGCGGAAGTTGCAATAAAACTGTACTGCGGTAACTTAATGACTGTACAGTAAATTCATGACCTCACGTAAACAATATGAACGACAGCCTCCCTAATAAAAGTAGCTTTCATGTAACCAGTGAGAGATCATGGAGCACACACTGAAAGGATTTTATGAAACAGTGCAGTGAAGACCTAGCACATAGAAACATATTAATCATATTCGACAAGTCAATGTCGCAGGCCTAAAAGGCTTTTATGTTTACCTTGTAACATAAGTACAAAGTAAAACGAAAATAGTATGCCATGAAAAGTAGAAAATTACACCAAATAAAAAGAAGCCCTTATTATGGTTATTGTTCACACGAACAATATTGTGGCATATTGAACTCTTGCTAGGCAACGACAGCGAAGCAAACAAAAAGAGAATGGCCGTTGTTAGGCAGCGGCTCGCGCGCAACAATGGAAGTACTGGTGGAAGCATTGTTTTATATGTGGTCCGCTCCGACGCTATATGATTCGACCGACCGAGTTCAGTTCAGTTAACGCAGAGCAGTGCAATGAGTAAAGCTAGCTGATTGGTGAGTTAGAGCAGTGTTTCTCAACCGCAGAGCCGAGGCCCGGTATCGGGCTCTCGTCTTATTAAAAAAAAAATACCGGGCCGCGGTCTCACAGAGATTGAGAACCACTGAGTTAGTGGACTGCTGTGAGCTGTTGCTGTTAGGAGCTGGTAGCTGAGGCACGGGCATAGCTAGGGAACCAATAGTAAGAGGAACTCCTGCCGTTGGGTGCCGTTACCAGGCAACTGGTCAACACACAGCAGACTGAGAAGAATTAGTGCGTACTGTAGTAAGTTTGTAGAGAGAGTGACTTAGCAATAGCGCTATATTTACAATCTGTAAGTAGTAAATACAGCCAATTATCAATCCAAACCCCGTCTATAGTCACTCCAACATGTGACAATACTATATTTATATTACTGCTATATTTAACTTTGGTTATGGATGTTTCGACACCGATCAGCCATTATCAGGCCATTACAATAGGTGCAAGTGGGGGAAAAATTAATAATAAGCAAGATATTAAATTTGGAAAATATATTCAACTACATATTAAAACACATGACCTATTATAACCTCGGTAATTCGAACTCTCAGTAATATGAACTGACTTACAGTAAAAAAAAAAAACAACTGAAAAATGCACACTGAATATGATTATTTTATTTACTTGAAGTAAAAATTAATTTTTGTGAGGCATGATGTTATGACGTAATGTATTGGCTCTCTGGATGTTGAGAGATATAACCCAGTTACCACTTGCCCCGAACCAGGTTTGTAGTCGAACTTCCGCGGGTTCCGGTCGTTGTTGGTATATAAAATATACATTTTTTTTCGAATACACTTTACCAACAAATTTGAAATATTTATTTTAAATCCACTAATCCGAACGGTTCAGTACTCCGAAACGCAGTGCTTTAGTCAGTTCAGATTATAATTTTAAACTGTAGCTATATTAATAACTGAGTCCTACAAATTATAATAATAAAACATAATAAAAGACAAGTAACTGTTAGTGTGACGGACCAAAATGAAACAAATAAAACATAAATTCATATTTTTCACTTGAAAATACATATGCCTCATATTTGTTATATACAACATGTTTTATCTGTTTACTGCGCTTATATGAAATGACGTAAGGTTCTGCTGTGGTCTCGGATGACTTGTCTCCAGGAGTGTTGGATCCTGACAAGTGTAGCCACACTTCTATTGGTCGTCACCTGGCACCGCTCTCTGCGGTTTCTATGGTCTAGTATGACGTCAATATTGGACTGTAAACGTCACTACAGGTATCGTTTAAATGTGTGTTCTTTCTTGCATTTTCATAAATGTATCGTTGTAACATATATCCAAATTTACGTTTTTTATTATATAAGACTTTCATTATGTAGTTCACGAATTAGGGAGATAGGTTATTGGTGGGAAAGACAGAAGGAAAGAGACCACTAGGAAGGACAAGAAGTAAGTGGGTCGATAATATTAAAATGGATCTTAGAGAGAATGAGATGGTACGGACTGGATTCACCTGACTCAGGATAGGAACCAGTGGAGGACTCTCGTGAACATGATAATAAACATTTGCTGCACAAATGACAGCTTCTCATGAAGGGCTCAGCTCCATGTAGTTAGTTAGTTAGTTAGTTAGTTCATTATGTCATGGAGCTTAACACAGGAATGCCTAGTTCTTAATACTTGGTTTGTGTATTACAGATCAATTTTCTTTTCTTAATAGCACCTTATATGTTCTGTATACGTATTTACGAAGTTGCCTTCAGCTGGACGGTCATTCACTTCATTAAAATATAAATATTTCATTTTACATACATTACGTTTCTTCATTCTGTTTTCATTCATATTAATTATTATCGATTGCACATTTTCTCGAAAAGTTATCGGTACTTTTACGGTTGTATTCATGAATAATTCCATAATTTACCTGGTTGCTTGCCCCTTATTTGTAAAAATGGCTCAAATGTGTTCTGCCTCTGGGTTTATAAATTTCTTAGAGTACTAATAGTTTGTATTTACATTCCATTATCTATGTTGCTGTAATTTTGATAGCTCTAATTACAACACAACAGTACTTTGCAATTGAAATTAATGAAATGAAGCACTCCATGTTCGTCTCTTGAATACGATGAGGCGATATCGAGGTATTGCATACATTAGTCCTTCCTTCCTGCATATCAGGTAAGGTGTATGCGACAACGCATATGCTAACAGATCAAGGGAACAGCGGTAATGGTTGCAGTGCAAAGCCCATGTAGTGCACTGTCTCTCTGCTGAGGAAATTCTGTGGATGAGACAGACTGGATGATAATGATATGTATAGTATATGTTTCGTAGAAAATGTAATTAAACGAATTTGTTATTTTTACGTAAGTTTCAAGATGCAGCACCGATTCATTTTGTTACGTTGCACGATAATATGAATAAATAATACATTTGAGCCGAACATAGCCATACGCAAAACACGAACAATAGAGACCATAACGACACTCAAGACCGTAATGTTAAAATGCAAGAATATTTTAGAAAAATAACATTTCAGCTTTTATTTCATTTAGGCGCCGTGTACTCCTCTCAAAAATTCTACATTTCTACCAAATATGTCCATACCTCGTATCTTATATTATTTTTTTGAATTCATTTACCCCTTGAGTGCAAGTACATCAAGAAATAGCATACTTTCTGCTGTATTTATTTATTGTTTACTTATTAACATTATCAGTGTAATAAACAGGGTCGATTACAGAGATGAATGAGAAGTTAATTAGTATTTAATAAATTGGAAAGGATGTGAAAGAAGGGGTCGTGGCCAGATTTCAGGTACTATCCCAATATTCGCCTGCAGTAACAAACAAACCACGAAAAACATTAATCAGGATAGCCTGTAATAGGATGGGGTTTAGAGCCCAGGACTTTCCGAATAGGAAGCATGAACGTCACTCTTCAGGTCACAATGTTCGGTTTAATAGATGCAGAATAACAGCTCCTGTAACGTGAATATAATACGCGCTTCTTTGAGGCTTCACGTCAGACGTATAGAAGGTCAGTTTTCTAGCCGCAAGCTAAGTAAAGATTTTACATAACGAAAACTGTATTAAACATAATACTGCACATTATATACGTATATACATGTATATATTAAAGCTGAATCCCTTGTCTTCTCTTGTCAAACATGAAGTCCAAAATAAAATTATCATCATCATCATCGGCCCATCACAATGGTAACGCGGTCTAGCGAAGGAAATGTCTTCTCCCGCTCAAACAATGTGATCGTGGGTTCGAATATCACTCGAGACACGGATGTCTGCCCGCGTTTCTTCTGTACTTTTATCACACTGTGCAGGCAGTGTCCTTGCGACAGGGCTAATCATCCACCCAAAGAGTATTACCAAGTGTATATGACATCCATCTAAGTCATGCACTGTCTTCGCTAGCTCGGAAGCCGGGATCGTGGGTTCGAACCCCACTCAGGATGTTTGTGTGCGTTTTTCTGTGTTTGTCTATAGGTAGAGGCCTTGCGACGAGCTGATCACTCGCCCAAGGAGTCCTACCGAATGTGTAAGATCTAGAAAAACCGAAGTGAACGGAGAAGTTCATGGTGGTAGGCCTAGGCCCACTGGGGCTGTAGTGCCAAGAAAAAAAAATATGACATCCATAATTCCATATTAATTCTGACAAGAAAGGACCAGATTGCCTGACGCGAAAAGCAGACGAAGAAGATAAATTTATAGGGAATAACACATATTGAGATTACTTGAGAAGTATACAGAGTAGTTGAACCTATGACGGAGTCAGTAAAAGGAGATTGTTATTAGGGCGGTCAATTGAGACAAAAGCAGACGAGGAATGTAACAATTTCTTTATTAAAACCGTAAAAAAAGCTATATTAAGGTCAGTGTCAAGTTTGGCTCTGCTACAAGTTTCGGCTACCAAAAGCCATCATCAGGCAAATACGTGGCCAACATTTATACACCACTGAACTGCAGTACTAGTAAAATTGGATACAATAATATTGATTATATTAAAATACTAGGCGTAAAAGTACAATAAATTGGACTATATAAAACGAAAATTATAGCACAAAACAAGATTAAAATTCTTCAAGTGATGCTTTACATCATCGAATCAATCGTTGGTTTTTGTGATTTTGTTGTATTTCCAAGATCAAATTGGAGTATTCTATATTTTGTGTATATATAATAAACTGTTCTGGAGGCTCGTGATGTTGATGTAGTAATATTAACGTTAATTATTTAATTATTTACATTCCCTACAGAACGAACAATACTTTGTAAGATGAGGCACCGACTCCCAGAGCCGTGAGAGCGTAAAATATGGTCATGAATCCGGCGGGACCTGAATGGAGAATGACTGCGCTGGTGAGGGCCAGCAGCAATTTACCCATCACCCGTGAAGCAAGTCTGACTTGAGTTGCATTGTTAGTAAAGTCTAGTGAAGAAACAGAGGACTGCACGTGTTTCGCAGGTGCAGTGGTCTCCATTATGTGTAAATAAGCGAAAATGCTATAATTATTCGCAGCTATGAGTTATAAGCGTCCAATTATCAATCCCAAACTCCATCTCTTTTCAATACCACGTGATAATATAAATATATTTCCATGACATACCCCACTACTCCATTAGCGAATAGTGGATATCAAAATGAGACCTTTCGCTATCAGGAGGCTACAACGTTCTCTCATTCCATTAAAACAAATTTAGAACACAGCTTAAACACAGTTATTTGTTCTGTCGCTGGGCAGATGCCCGTCTAAACTGATCAATACGGTGTAAACAATAGAGCCATGTGATTAATTGAGCGATTTCATTAGCTGTGCTGTCCTGCATTACAATTTATTTTGTACTTGCTTCTCAGATAGGTATTTATCTGTGTTGCTCTTTACTCAGTATGGCGTTTAAAGTTCTACAGCTATGTCTACATTGACTCAATAGCCTGAATTCAGATAGATGTATCTACCAATCTGATTTTATGTCAGAACACTAAAGTATGTGGTTAAGCAAGATGAACTTTTGATTGAGACAATTATTCCCAAATGTAATCCGGAAGAATAGAGGGGTTAACTCAAAATACAAATGTAAGGTAAAATTATCCCTATAAGAGGCCGTGGAAACCCGCAGGTTTCTGAGATGTCGGGGCTCCCACATTTTCTAGACCAG